TTATAATAAGGGTCAAATCCTTCCTGCTTTGATAAACAATTCTGGAGCCAGATGGGCCTTGTTTTGCTTAATTTCAGGATCCTTGTGTTTGTCTGTGTGTCTCTGTATGTGTGTGTGTGTGGCCTGCACCAGCATTGAGGCAACTTGTTTACAGTGTTTGACATGTGAGGAAACCAGTGTGTATACACTGCAGGGTGTGTGTTTATGTGTATGTGTTTACAGTCAGGCCTCCCTAAGAACATCTTCCCCTGCGACAGCCTGACAGAAGCCAGCTATGTATACAGGCTCTCGGGTTGAGCCGCCGGCTACGAGACCTATGACCGGCTCACCTTCCCATTGTGTCGCTTCTCGCTAAAGGGAGACGGCATAAATTGGTTTCATATCTGTTCCATACAGTTCACATGGCTCGACAATAGCATACCTGGCGAATTTCTCTGAAGCCGTGCAAACATCCTGAGAGTTTGATGCCCTTTCTTCCAAGTATGAAATGATCACATGATCAATGTGTCAACAGCGCTTGGTGGGTCTCAACCACACATCGGGAGGAAGCCATTTCAGAAGCTGCTGTTCGAATGTTTTCATTGTGAGGCCAAGATGAAACAGCCCCTGCTAGCAGACAATTATTTAACATTGATTGACTTGAATGAGAACAGGAAGCGTTTGTACCCTATGATTACGCAAAACGTAGATTGCCTTAGGCAAGTGAATCAGCTTTAAATACCCCATCTGCCATATATATTACACATGAGCTCAACTACAATACCCTTTGCATAACATGGCTTTGTGTTCATAACAGACTTAAACGTAACCCTGTCATGTGGGTGAATAATGGTAACGCTTCATGAGAAGCCATAAAAATCCGCGCACTGTAAGGCAATGGAATATTGATTGAAACAAATGTAGATATGGCTGCTGTATATGGCTACCTGTAATAATGAGTGGGTGGGGGGCATCCACACTGATTTTGTGGATGCTGTAAAAAGAGAAATGATAATTGGTGAGGGAACACTTTTCCTGGCGTGATAATTACCACGCTGATAGCGAGGGGAATAGAGTACCTGTTGTGGTGATGATTGTGTGCGGAGTGTGTGCATGCGTGTTTGTTTTTGCATAGCGCACTCATGTGCTTTAAAGGCCAGAGAGAAGGAGATATGGATTGAATGTCGGCCTGCAGAAATGAGTCGGAAAGAGAAAGAGGTAGGGCATGCATCCAGGCTGCTAGGCATGTTCCCTCTGGTAGAGATGGATTGCCCTGTATACGTGGTAGAGAATAATTGATTTTAATTGATATGTATGGCATGTTCATGCTGCTGCTCGGGAGGAACAAATCAATTTGACACCATTCTGTTGATATTAGCCGTTTCTGCCTCTTTCTCTCACAGTTTCTGTGTCTCGGGTCCATTCATTCAGCGGCTGAGGCTGCCTGCCAGTGCTATGCTCAGGGCAGAGGCCTGAGTTGACTGGACGGGGGTGGAGAACATGGGGGGAAGGGCTGGTTTGAGGCTCTGTAAGGGGTTTGAGTGGGCCTTAGTGTAGGCGGCGTTTTATATGAAAAGTCGGTGAGGGCAGGACGCTTGAATAGGGGTGGCTGGGAAGTTGGGCTGGGAAGGTCCAGGATGCACCCCACAGTGCTTTTGTGTGCTCTCACATCCGTGTGTGTGTATGTGTATGGGGAGGTGGGGGTGGGGGTGGGGGGATGTAGCATATGTGAGATCATGTGCTCATATTCACCAGTGGAATGTAAAAAGAGAGAGGAGGGGGTTCTCCTCTCTTTCCCTCGTTGTTTTCTGTTCTCTCTCTGCTGTGCTGTAGTGTAGGTCTGTTTGCATAAGCTCTGTACTGGATTGAGCACGCCATGGAGCCTTCCAGATGAAACAAAACCAACCTCATTTAGTTGTTTTTAAAATGATTCTCTTTATTTTGTTTGGTTCAGGCAGATCCACCTCGTTTGACATGAGGGGAATAAAGGCACTCTCTCGTTCAGGGTCATTTCCCAGAAACATCGTTTGTATCTGCAAGACTCTTCCTCTGTGCACTCAAACTTCTTTGATCAACAGGTCTCCAGACGACGTGAATGAAAGATGCAATTCAACCTCCCTTTTCGCCCCTTTTCCCCTTTCGACCTCCTCAAAAGTACAATAATCTTCAGTCACTCGTCTCCTCCTCTCCATTGCGTGGCTGTGTGTAGCACCGGAGTGGCGCTGATTAAGCCAACAGAGAGACAAACGGGAGACAAAGTCCCAGCCCACCAGTTTAGTTTCACATCCTGGACTGGAGCTGGGCTGCAGCTTGCCAAGTGGAGGGCTTTTAAACTGGGCTAAACACTAATTGCTGCCCTATTTCTTTTATGTTGCTTCTTTCCCATCTGCGATGGCGCTTCCAGACCTCCACAGCAGCCAGAGCCTCATTATAGCAGACAGTTAACAAAGGCTGGGAAACAGAAGCAGAGAATTCACTTAGGATAGCTATCTAACCGCCAACTAGGAGGCCTGCTTGGAAAATTGAATCAATGACAGGGGCCGGCTTGTGATTAAATCCTTCAGGGATATTAAGATATTAAGATTTTGGAAATCTTAATTATTCATCTAAATTGTTGCGGCTTGCTTTGATAATGGAATAAATGGGTTGTAAAACTGAGAAGTGGGGTGTGAGGCTCATTGTTTTATCTGAGAGCCAGGCTTTTAAGTACTTTTAATACTTTTGAAACAGAACATTTAAAAAAAAAAGAAAATAGAAAACACCTACTTGTTGAGTGAAACAAATCAAGGTATATTTGTGATGTTTGCCTGGTCTTTCTTTTTTCCCCTCCTTCTGGTTTCACGCTTGTTTTTGTGTAGGTGTTTTTTGTGTGTAGAGAGGGGGGGTGGGGGGTGGAGAGGGGCGATGAGAGAAAACAGAATAAGGGAAATGTTGAGGAGGTGAATGAGAGGGAAGGAAGAAAGCTAGAGGGAATGAGATTGGGGAGCTGAAATAGAGGGGGCTGAGATTGGGGGGATCGAGGGAGGAATAGAGAGAAGGTGGGGAGGAGAGGGGGTGGTCAGCAACAAAGCCTAATGTTGCCATGGAAACTTGTTTATGCCTCACTGATGCATCTTGTAGATCCAATTAGAGACTGATTGTGTCCGTGTCTTCATAGACACACGCACGTGTACCCGGGCTTGGTGCACACACACAAATGAAAACATATGTACAGTTATACACACACACGAGCACATGCAGAGTGTTGCTGCTGGAAACCAGCAAATTGTTAGGAGAGGTAGGACAAAGGATACCCCGCGTTCTCTGTCTCTTATCGGCCCTTGAATTAGCGCAAGCCCTCCCCTCACACCCGGTCCTCTCCTCAACCCCAAGAGCATCAGACAATAGCGTGGAAATAACGTCTCACCCGCTCCCAAGCCTCGTACGAGTGGTCCTATCTGCACATGCTTTCATGACATCATATTCAGCCAGGGAGGTGGGGGGTGGAGGACAGGATTATGACCGTTTTGCAAATTTCATGTTGCATTTATTTCTTCTGTGAATTAACTGATTTATTTATTAATGCCCCTGTCCAAGAAGAATGCCCATAGATGTTGTAAAAGCCTTAATCCAATCATGTTCATTTTCATGGGGGGTATTTTCTTCAGAAAATGGGACTTTTTAATTCACCATTTCTTACAATGGCTGGCCGTTTGCCAGTGTTTGACATTGGAGGAGGAGGGATGGCGATCATAAGCCCCCCCTACACTCACACACTCCTCTAACAGTCTCTTACAGGAGGCATCACAGTCCTCCCTTCCCTGGGCTGGAGAGTCAGTTATTTAGTGGTGAAATGATGTGTGTGATGATGAAATGAGGGGCTGTAGATAAGGTGAGATTACACTCTGAGCGCGAGAAAGAAGGGAGAGACAGAGAGGGGCCCAGCCCCTGATGTCTTGTTAAAATGTGAGGGATCAGAAAGAACAACAAATGCATTGCACGGTGCTAAATCCTGCTTAAATCCGCTGGCATGGGCAGATCGAGCAGATAGCCCTGCTGCTGTGCTCTCTGTCTGCGACCACAACACACACACACGCACACACAAACGTACATAAACACACCCGTGGTCAGTCCGGCTGTCTGGGTTAATGCTTGGCTAACTAGGACAGCAGAGCTGAACCATGTTGACATTTTAAGCCTCAAACAAGTCCAGAACAATGATTCAGCCCGTCTGACCCCCTCCGCATCAGACCGCAACCTCAGCTCATTTTGATGACCCACACACACACATACACACAAATGCAGACGTGCATAAATATACACACCACTGCCCAAACACACTGCAAGTACTCAGTGTACCCCCGCCCCCTCTCTTCACACACACTTACACACACATAGTAGGTCTCCTCCTGTTCCCCACCTTTAGTGAATAAAAGAGAACAAGAGCTGATCTGACTGAGTTGGCAGCAGAGGGCGAGGTGGAGAAGGACAGTAAGGCCAGATGGATTATCTTAATCTTCCAGCAGATGATCATGGCAGAGGGACGATGAACCAGGAAGCCTTAACCTCTCTCTTGACCCCTGCGCACTATTTTCCTCTGGAAACTCGGACGTCTGAAGTAGAAGCAGCGTAGATATTATGTTGAAGCACAGGTCTTACATTGAACTCCGAAAACATGGGAAAAGAATCAGTGGCATTCTTTGGATGTAATCTTATCTGTAGCCATTTCTGCGGCAGCCATTTTGTGTTTGGCCATCTTGTTTCCCTCCTTGCAAACTTTTGGTATGCTTTGATTTGGGTCCAAGAATGAGAAGAAAATTTACAGGATTTGTGTTAAACGTTCTGTCGTCTAAGGCTGAATGATGTCAAGCTGATACATGTAGTGTTCTTGTGGGGCCACATTAACTAAGCTCTGCCTAAAAGCCCATGCCAGACAAATCTAAACCTATAACTCCAATAGCTCAAAGTATTAAGACTATATAAACTGTTGTTGAATTATGTGGCTGCTTTTCCAGACTTCCTTTATTATGTGTTAGTGACAAATTGTCTTCTTTTTTTTCTCTTTCCCCAGGTTTCTGGCTGGAAAGGGCCTGGTGATCTACCCAGACATCGGGGACAAACTGGACATCATCTGTCCCAAAGCGGACCAAGGCAGAGACTATGAGTACTACAAGCTGTACCTGGTGAAGAGGGAGCAGGCGGAGAGCTGCAGTACCGTCCTCGATCCTAATGTCTTGGTCAACTGTAACAAGCCTGAGAAGGACATCAAGTTCACCATCAAATTCCAGGAGTTCAGCCCAAACTACATGGGCCTGGAGTTCAAGAGGAACGTCAACTACTACATCACCTGTGAGTTTGTCTTAAAAGATGATTTATTGTTGATCTTTAGCTTTTCAACCTTCATTTAACCAGAGAAGCCTGGCTGAACAATCTGAGCCATAATCTCTGCTTCACACTCAGTTACACACAGTCACACATGGGAGTTTCGTAGTAAAACTGTATTTTAATGGCTGCTGCAGCAGCTCCATAGCAACAACTAGAGGTGACCTGCCTTGCTTATGGCACAGTGTCTGTCAGTTCAGGATACAAACCTACAATCTTTACTGACATTAAATGAAGTGTTTCTTTAGTTAAATATAATTTTGAGGTACTTGTATTTCAGGCTCTCCATTTGTACTTCTGCAAATGGAAAACTTTAATTTCAAAATAATTTCAAAATAATTTCAAAATAATTTCAAAGACATTTCTTGAAAAGAACTTGGCAATAATGCTTTTGAAAATGGAGACAGTGTTGGTACCTCATTTCACCTCATTTAATGAATTCTAACTAATTGCGTCTTATAGTCAGTACACAGCAGGTCAGCTGTACTTGCAAAAATGTGAAATTTGTCTACTGTCAAGCAAATTATTCTATATGCAGACTAAAGTTTCCAGTGATAAATGAATAGTGAACGAATATTTATTTGGAATTAAATGTAGCTTTCAGCTTTTCTTTGAGGGAAATTCATATTTGAACAGTAATTAGTACCAAAATATATTGGTATTTTTTGACAATTCCTAGAAAATTAAAAGGAAATTACGGACCTAAAAGAACAATTTCCAAAATGAATATTTATACTTTAGCTGACAATACTTCTGTAATTTTATTGAGTGCAATACCTTTACTTGTAATTGAGTATGTTTGCTTTGTGGTATGACAATATTTACTGAAGGTCTGAATATGTTCTCTTACAAAAGAAATGTAGACACACTTTTCACATACTTTGGGACAGCCTGTTTTGGGGTAATTTATTATTGCTAACTTATTATGAGTAATATTAAGGGTAACTAGTGAGTAATAGTTTTGCAGCTAAAATCATATTCTGTCCCAGTATTTGAGGATTTGCACTAAGTAGATGGTGTTTAGTAAGTATCAACAACATAAAACCTGGGACTAAAATGTAAAATGGTTTATTTACACATGCATTAAATTTTAAATGAAAAATGTTTATCACTTAAGACAGTCAGTTAGCCTCTGTGTCACTGTTTACAAAGCCACAGTGGTGAGGGTATTGAAGACCCGGTCCAAAACAGTCTTTGTAACCCCAACAAACATTTTGTTAAACTGCCGGGAAGACATATTTTACAGGGGTTGTGGAGGAATCACACAACTGCAGGACTCTTTTTGGACAGAGAAGTTTGGAGCTGGGTGCTTTCAGCTGCCTTTCTCTCAGGATCTTGCTGCATAAACAGCAAAGTCTTGCTCCACGCTGAGGACTTTAGGATGTCTGTAGGTTACAGTCATTTAAATAGTTTTTTAAAGAATCGCAGAATATCATTGAGATACTAAAACCACTGTAATTTAAATGTTAATAAATGTGTGTCAAATGTGACTTGCTGAAAATTAGGAGGTAAGGCCTCTGGGGTGTTAAGAAGCATCCAGGCTGCACACTCACCGGCTCTCATTTTATTGCTGACATTTACTGCCCACACCTGAAAGAAGAAATTAGATATGAAGTGTGACATATTTAGATGGTAAAATCAACATAATCTAACAATTTACTCCATGACTCTTGTCTTACCAGCACCAAAATCCTTCAGTTCAAACTCACAAAGATTTCAAACTGAAAGCTCAATCTTTACTGTTACTCCAAACGTTATCAGAGTTATATTAGTGTAACATGAGCAGAGTTCAAAGTGTGATGGTGGACCGCCTGTATGTGTCTCAGTAAATCACCGTTCTCTCAGCTTACTTTTCCTCAGCCCCGAAAGAAGGTTGATTATGTCTTCAGCAGTCACCTGAGATGGGATATTTTTTTTCTGCTGAAGCCTTAGGATTTCCATCACCAATGCAATCTAAAAACATAAAGACGATAAGTCATCTTCAAGCATGACATGACAGAGCCTATCAGAATTGGTTTTGCATTTTATATTGGTGTGGACTTGGAAGGATAGTAGGTCTTATTTGTGACTGTGTATATGCCAGCAGAACTTCATCATATACATATGGGTGTATCAAACAACACTACTGAAGGAAAAAAGATAATGTTACTTTTAGTTTTGGTCTGTTTTAATTAAGTATATCTAAGTCCATCTCCAGTAGGGTCCCCAGGGAAACTTTTTGCAAGTGTCCTAATGTTAAATAAAGTGCTAAATTTATGACCACCCTCAGGACACTACTATGAGATGATGCATACATAATATATCAAACAATTTGGTCATCACTACCCCAGCTGATGATGACACAATAAAAAATATTTACCCAGTGAAATCCTCTGGTATATTTTGCTGTACAGGATAAGGCTGGTGATATTCCATATTTTCCAACTGTCAGAAAATCCCATGAAAACACCAAAAACAATCAAATTTATCCTACTAACATGCATTACCTGAGAAGCCCAAGCCTGATATAGCTGATTCCTCTGCGCCATAGAGCTCCGTTATTGTCCAGAAACTATTAAAACACATCCGTGAGCCACAGTGTTGCACTGGGTGACATGTTCCTTCGTTATGATGAACATGGACACTGTAGTTTATTTTGAGTCAGTTCCCCATGCGATGTCCTGGTGTGGTAAATACTTGCTAAAAAGCATCAAATTTGTATTAATTTGGACCTCTCCGTTTATTTTTCGATTTATTATGAAGGAACAAATGGGTTTGGAGTTGCTACAGACTTGATAGGGAATTCAGGAAGTATTTAGACATAGATTAATATGTTGTTGGTTTTAGTTTTTTTATATGATTGTTGACTATAAGAAGTTATGTAGTAATGCAAGCCTTATAATTTAAGTCACGAGTTGGCAGGTAGAAAGCAACAGTTTTTCTGGGGGGATATCCGACAGCCTAGATGCTGTTTCTCCATCTTGTTAGCTCAGTAGCTGCAGAAGCTAACACGCTGTAGCTCAGTTATTAATGCAAAAGACAGTGTTACTCTAGACGTTACTTCGGCACACAGTAAAGTCACATTTTTACTTTTGTTAGTCATTTCCTACATTTCTTGGCATGACTTGAACGGTTTTCTAAAATCGTAACATGTGTTGTGGTTCTTCTGGTCTGAGGATGCTGTCAGTTGGTGGCTCTGCCACATCTGTACTTGATTCCTTACTGAATCAATGAAATGATCGGAGATGGTTGTGACATTAGAAATGCAATGTCTAAACTTACATGCAACAAGCTGCCTCATGCCAAAGAACTGCTGGCATAGTGAGAAGTTGAATTAAACACTAATCATCTCTTGTAAAGTAAATTCATATTTGGAAAAGTTAGCATAATACAAAATATGGTTACATATTTATCATCACCTTTATCCTTACATATAATTTTTCTTTTCCTGAATATTTAGGGAAAGCTTATTTGTACAATTTAGCCCAATATATGAATAAGCTTCGAAAGGCTTCAGAAGATATAAAGTTAAACCTCCTGCACGTTAAGAAAATGTTTTATTCTTACAGTAAAAAAAACAACTTCTTTATATCATCTCCCTCTGAAGGAAAAATCCACACTACATTAAATCTCACATATGTTTTTTTCTTTTGATCTGTAGCAGTTCAATCGATATTTGTGAAGTCTCCCTCAAAGCCAGAATGCAGGGAAGCATGAAGCTAGTGATGTTATCAAGCGACAGTTTTTTGGGGGTGGGGGGGCGCTTCCGTGGCAACATTTCATTTGGACTTTAAGAAATATTTCTTTGAGCTTTATTACACCCACATGTCTTTAAAAAAACACCTTGGGCATTTTCCGCGCCTGATCAAAGTTTTCCTAGCCGGCTGTTAGCGGGGCTGCTCCACATATTGTCTCCTGATTACATCATAAATATTTTAACCAACTCTATTAGTGACATGTGCGTGGGCATGCATCCTGACTATAGTATGATCCAACATCAAAGAGAAAACATCAACTTTACTTTAGATTAAATTTGCTTTTATACCACACTCTCTTGTGTCTCTGCCATATAACACCATTCTTGCTGATGTGTATATTATGCAAGTGCTAAGAATACTTAACACTCGCTCCATGGTGTTTCAGACTGTGAACTCAGAACTAGAGCCTGTTGTAAATCCTTCACAGGGGAGGCTGGACATGCAGGATCCAGCCTGATGGTGGATCATCATTAGGCTCATATACTGTAACGTTCTTGCATCAGCAGTAATCGGTTGTAGCATTTGTCTTGGTATTATGTTAATGTTGTTGTCCTTTGCAACAGGAAGCGCTTGCTTTATTTATTCCACTGCAGCTTGTGCATACAGCATGACACGTTTCATCTATCATTTAGATAATGACCACGTGTCGCTGCTGTATGTGTGTAATATCTGTGTGTTTTCTTGGGAGTGCAAGAGAGGGACAGAAGGCACCTGCACTGAACACACTTTTCCTGCTTTTTCCTGTAGAGTCATGTGTGTATATGTGTGTTGAAGCCCCTTCAGGCCAGCTTATCCCTGCCTAGAAGATGTGAGTGCATTATCCCACCGTCTCTGCTGGGAATGCGCTCCAGCCGGCCAGCAGAGCAGCGTAAATCTGCTCGGCCTATAAAGACCCGGCTTATCTGGCCTGATTAACGGTCAAACGTGGCAGACACCGTTTGAGACGAGAAGAAGATGCATAGGGAGCGGACATTCCACTGAATCTTCCAGCAGTCTTTTTCTTGTGCACCCCCGGTCTCTCCACTATGACTCCGTGGCTCTGTTTGTCTTTTCCTTGATCATCTCCACCCCCACCCCTACTTCTGCTTCTTCTGCTCCTTCCATGGGGTAGAATAAGCAACAAAAGGTGTGTGGTAAAGAAAGCAACAAATGGTGTGTGTGTGTGGGTATTTGTTTGCGTGTGTGTCCCATGCCTTGGCGTCACCGCAGGGGATCCCGTCCACTCGGTCC